GGCACAAACCATTGCCTTGCATCCTGTCATTGGCCAGTTGCCTTCAGAGCAGGTGCCAGTCTGTCTTCCTCTCTTCCCAGTTTATATGGTCCTGAGGCTGGAGCTGCAGCTCCTGAGGCTGGGGGCTTGACAGGGAGAAGGGCACAGTACACAGGTGGGCTGTTTTCTCCCGATGTTGCCTGTTTTTCTCTTCAGTCTTGTTTTGTGCCCCAAGCCAGGCACCAGACCCCGGTCTGGGCCGGGGGCTCCACAGGGTACCAGATGGGTGCTGTTCCCAGGCAGGTCACAGTAGGCAACCCTGTTTTCATCTTTGGGAGGACTGGGCATTTTGGATTCATATTTGCAAGTGTCTGTGATTTGCTTCTTGCTGCACGAGTGTTTTCCATGGAATACAATTCATTGATCTTTGAGAGGATTTATTACATGAAATATTCACGGGCACAGGCTTCACAGTGCAGCTCTTGGAACAAATATATTGAGTACAGTTTGTCCTCAGAAATCTATTAATGCTGATGGGTTGCAATTGTTGCCTGTGAAGCTTTGGGGTGATCTGGGGCCAGGGGGAACAGGCTGGCTGCTTCCACCTCTTTACCTCCCTGGCTTGGCTGTGGCTACAGCAGGCCCTCCCCTGTGTGTGAGTGGGCACACGCATATTCTTTCTCTCCCTTTTTGATGAGCACAAAGGCTCCACTTCTATAAGAGCCTCTTTTCAGCTTCCAGTTTCTTGTTTCATTCCAGCTCCCAGTGAGGGCCAGGGGGGTGTAATGACATTCCTGGAAAAAGACTGACTCATGAGTGATGGCTGCTCTGGGAGGAGAGGGGAAGATGTTCAGGTTTAGGAACAAGAGCAGCTTGCCAACCCTGAGATAGCCCTAATGGCCGCTGTAGGAGTTTGTATTGCTATTCATGTTTTACCCAGGAAGAGATGGAAGCTCAGATAGGCTCAGTGATTTGCCCAAAGGGCAGTTTCTTCAGTCCAGCTAACCTGTGTTGATGGGCTGGCATGGAGCCCTGCCTCTGGCCTCAGGAATACCCCATCTTGGAGATATGGAGACAGACCCGGGGGAGGGAGGAGTCCAATAGAATCAGTGGACTCCCATGTGGAATGGGGAACAGGAAGAGTCTGGTGAATATGGAGGGTATGGGAGGGCTGAATGGGAAGGTGGAAGAGTGCATAGGAGTTCACCAGGCAGATGGGGGCTGGGAAAGGGAGTCGAGAGGTGGGAAGAGCAAGGACAAAAGACACAGAGGGGAGGCTGGTAGGGCAGGGATTGGGGATGCCGGGTTCATTTCTGTCCAGTCCCCAGGGGAGGGGATGCAGAGCCACTACTGCAGATGACCCTAAACCTTGCTGAGGAATTTGGGCTGTAACCAAGGGCACTGAGGAGCCACTGGATATTTTGAAGCCAAGGAGAGAGATGGAAATTGTTTATTTGGCAAATGACTATAGAGGTACAGCAAGAGGTGTTGTGAAAGATGAGGTAAACCTGCCAGGGACGTCACAGGGGTAAGAGACAGCCAAGAGAGGGGTGCAGGAGGTGAGAGACATCATTTGATATTTGTGTTGGGAAATAGACTGGACTCCTTATCTCAGGCTGAGAGGCCACAAAAAAGAAAAGGCCAAAGTCAAAGAAAAAAACAGCCAGAAAAGGGATGAAGGAAAACAGTGTCTTAGAAATGTCAAGAAACTTTCAAAAGGCTTTTTTAAAGAGTTAACATAAAACAAGTTTTAGTGAATGATGAGAACCAACACAGGATACAAGTTTTTCTAAGTTTAATAGTGTTCTGGAACTTGAAGAAGAACTAAGGACAAAAGCAAATGTGAACTAAGAGAACTATAGATTAAAGAGAAATATATGAGAAATAAGACATATAGGAAATAGGAAATATAAGAGAAATATAAATCAAAAGCAGAACTGAAAGTGGAGAGAAACAGTTTATGGCCATTGCAAGTTTGGAATATGATGACTGAAGGCTCTGAAAGTGTAGGTGACATTAGTAGCCTGGTGGAATCAAGGGCAAAGTTGAAGGTAAACCATAGAATGGAGCCCACCTGTTTGAGAACTTCTCAGGCATTGTCCACACTTGTCCTTTCTCCTGTTGGCAGGGCCACCATCTAAATATAAAAAACAAGTTACATAATCCAGAGGTATAATGGCATGGGCTAAATATTCCCATTCCAAAAGGAAGAAATGGGGATATAGAAAAGAACTGAACCAAAGCAAGACCACAATCCAGTGGGACAAACCTGTTCATGTCCAGCATCCATGGCATGGGGTGGTGAGATGTGCGTTCCAAAGGGCTTGGGTGACCCCACCCTGTGGCCTTGCTGGTTGCAGTCTGTGGCCTCTCTATTGGGCTGCTCTGCTTGCTGTCAGTAGCTTTCCTTGGCAGATGGTCCTGGCACCTCTGACTTCTTGGGTCTCCACTGCACCTTTGCCTTCATTTCCACAACTTCACACAATGCTTTCTCAAGGATTCCTTGCCTGGCCTTCTAGGCCTTTCTTTGAAATCTGGCTGGATGCCTTCCTGATCCCACAACTCTTGTATTGTGCATGGCAATAAAATCAGTATCACACTGATGATGCCAAGGTTTGTCACCACCACCAGCCTCTGAGTGTCCAGATGGATGAGCAAAGTAAAACAAATCTAGGCAAACATTCCCCAAGGCAATCCTTACTGACCAGGGGTCCAGGGGGTGGCTGTCTTCTCAGATAAAAGGTTTATCCTTTGCACTCTTGACCATGATTGGGGTCCTGCTGATTTCTGAGATGTCCTCAAAGCATTTTTGCCTTGTCCCTGTATAAACTACTTAGTTTCTTTTTAATGGTGCTAATCTCTTCATCAGGCCCTACCTTCAAAGGCCCTACCTTTTCAACTTATTCCTTTTGGGCCCAAATTTAAGTCTTTCCGAGTTTTCTGCTGTCCTTTTTGCCCCAGATTCTCACTATAAATCTGGATAAAAGCAGCCACCAGTACCCATACCACAGCCTGAAGTTTGAAATTCAAGCTTGAGACTTCCTTCACCAAATGGATTAGCCTATTGCCCATAATCTCAGTCTCCTGCAAAATCTCAGGAATGGGTAAACTGCAGACAGATTGTTTTTGACAGAATGTAACACACATGGCCTCTAGTCTAACTGTCCATGAGGTCTTTGTTCCAAATTGAAACCTCCTGAGCCTGGCCTTTACTGTCTACATTCCTGTCAGCATTTTGGTCTTCTGAGCTCTGACCAGAATCACCCACACCATTCTAAGGCTTTTCTAGCTGGCATCTCCAAATCTTTCCAGACTCTTTCTGCAAACTAGTTCCAAACCACATGGTCAGGTACAGCCACAGCAGTGACCCCACTCCCAGTACCAATTTTCTGTATAAGTTAGGTTCTTGTTGCTGGAACACAATTTCCACAATTTAAGGATGAGAGGTTTAGTTTAGCTCAGGGCTTCAGGGAATTCAGTCCATTGGTTGGCAGGCTCCAAAGGAGGAGCAGCACGGTGGAGCAAAGCTGCTGAGTTCGTGGCAGCTGGGAAGCAGAGCATTGGAACAGTGCCAGAGGAAAGGGTGAGGACCATGTATAGACCCCAAGGTCATGCCTCCATGACCCATTCAGACACACCCAGAAGTGCTCTCTCCCACTTCTAGGTGGATCCCAAAGCCAATTAAGTTGACAGTCCATTTTAGCCATCACACATGGCTTCATGTTTTGCTTCTGGCATCTGTTCAGTTGGGTTCTTGGGCTTGGCATTGATGTAGTGATAGTGGAGCAGTCAGGTGGCATTTGCTAGGCTTTTCCTGTCCCATCTGCTACTGGGGAAGTGGGTGGTGGAAGGAAACCACTAGCAGGTCTCCAAGGAGGAAAGAGGAGGGAGGAGAAATACTCAGGCTTCTGGTTCAAGTATCTGTTCTGTGTAGTGGAGCAATCTGGGTGCTGTGGGGAGAGTGGAGCCACAGAGAAAACCTATAAGAGATGTAAGCAGAGTGTAGGATCAAGTGGTGTCATCTGAGGCTGCAGCTAGTATGGGATGGACTTCTGATCTTTTGGAATACTGTCTTGACAGGAAAACCAACCCAAGGTCCTATCAGTACTTCCATCTTAGAAATTGCAAATATTCCCCTCCTTTGCTGGTCACTGTTGAGTAGAGTTGTTTATATTGGAAGGGACATAGGACCAGAAATCCAGGACCAATGTCAAGTCCTGACTGTGTCCTTATTAGCTGTGTGACTTTGGCAGCAGGGTCATTCTGGGCATCTCCTTTCCTACCTGGAAGTTGGAGGCTGGACCAGTGTGTTTGCCTCCCGGGAGCTGAGGTTGTCATGGGGATCAGAGTGCATATGTGACAGCATCTCAGATCTGCAAAGCTTGTGGTTCCACTGGACTCTGAGTGCTTTGAGGAAGGGGGTAGCTGGTTATTCCTTGTACCTCTCACAGCACCTTAGAGTGTCTAAGCGAATACTTCAGGAGTGTGGATTGAGTTAGTGATGAGTTTCCCTCAGCGTTTAACATTTCCTGGTGGCCAGATCCTCTCATTGTTCATACTCCCGGACAAGAAAGATGGAGCTGGGGCATCTGATGGGCCCATGGCACACATGCAGTGGCCTCTAGGAGGTGACAGTGCCCAGAGTAGCATTAGCAAGTCATGCCAAGAATCCTGAGTTCCAGGAGCTGGTGCTTTGGTGTGGCTTTCTGTCCCTGGACACACAGCTTCCTTCAGGGTAGCTTAGCTTGAGGTTCAAAAGCAGAAAGCTCTTCTCCCCATTCTCCCTCTCACTTCACTTCCCCTGCTACCCCCAACGTCCCTGTCCCCAAACCAGCTTTTGACCCTGCTTTCCTTACTCTCATTTGCCCCCCACCCACCCTTAGCTCCTGCTCGAAGACCCTGGAGAGGCCCTCTCTGTTTCTGCCTCCTGGGTGCAGGTGTGTTTGGGTTGTCTACAGTGTCTACAGCCCGAGGTGAGGTCTGATTGGCTGACTTCTGGGGTTTTCCTGCTCCCACTACAGGTAATCTTCCACGATGTGGCTGTGCTGACGGACAAGCTCTTCCCTGTCGTGGAGGCCATGCAGAAGCACTTCAGTGCTGGCTCAGGGACCTACTACAGCGACTCCATCTTCTTCCTCTCTGTCGCCATGCATCAGATCATGCCCAAAGGTAATATGGGTGCTGGGAGTAGAAGCCCCAGGTATCTGACTCTGTGTACATTTCCCTGCTCAGGCACAGCCAGTTCCTGGCCCCAGAGGAGGAGCTCCATTGAGATGTGAGACAGAGGGCAAGGAGCCAGCCCATGGGCCACAAGGCTCCCTGTGCTAAGATTCACAGGCAGGCCCTGGGTTGTATAGCTCCAGGCATAAGGACATGGCATAAATTGTGGACTATGGTGTCCCTGGGTGTAGGGGGCCAGGGCTACAGCTCTGCCCCTGGCCCTTGCACACAGCACCTCCTCCTGTCCCTACTTTCCCAGGATGTAGTTTGCTCATCTGTAAAATGACAGAGCTACCGTCCAAAGATGTTCTGTCTTGTTTGAATCTGTACCTGTCTGATTTTAAAAGCTCACATCTAGACGTAAGAAGCACAGATTATAGACCTGGCAGAACTTGTTTTGAAACTCTAATGTGTATTAAAAGGATCTATTGGCTTCTGTCCCCTTAGGAAAGGAGAGGTGCAGTTGTCCGGTCTGTTGATGGGTGCAGCTTGTGGCAGGTTGCTTACAGTAGCAGTTGTCTTTAACTGGAATCCCTCTAGGGGTCACCTTTGCGTGCTGGATTCTCCTCCCAGTGGTCTTGATTGGTTCTGTTCCCCAGCCATCACTCAGCGTCTGGTCATGGTGGATCACGACCTAAGGCCTGAGGGGTGAGGAATGTGTGCGGAGGCCTCAGGGCAGCAGTTATCAGGACTCTGCCTAGTTGATTTTCTTCTGGCTTACAGACCTGGCAGGCCTGGGTAGCCCAGAGAACAGCCAGGCCATTTGGTTTAGGCCTGCTGCTCTCGCCCAGCAGACCAGAAGTAAAAGAGGAGTCAGGAGGAAGTGTCCACTAGACACTCAGGAGTTGAACCTCCTGTCTCTTGGCAGGTATCATATCACCCAGAGAAGCAAACCTGTCTATAGTAGCTGGGACTGTCCCCACCCCTAAATGTTCTCTTGTTGCAAGGCAGGGACTCCAGGGCTCCAGTGAGCAGGGTCTGAAGGACAGAGGAGACAGGCTTGCCAGGAGTGCACAAGGAGAAGAGGTAGTGTTCATGATGCTTTACAGAAGTCCAGGTGTAACTCTGTCAGCTCAGCATATCCACCCCAGTCCTGAGTGGTGACAGGTTGGGTCCCCTGCCCAGAGTTCTATGACCATTTAGGTGGCAGAGCTGGGATTTGCTCCAGGTCTGCCTGGCTTTAGATATCGCCTCTCAAATGGCAGCTCCTTTTGTCCCATTGGGTGGCTCACATGGGCCTCTCTGAGTAGGCCCAGTGCAGGTACAATGGGCAACTCAGACTTGAGAAGGGTGGGTCCCTGTTCTCCTAGACCCTAGGGGGAAGGCAAATGTAGGCATTGGTTCCAGCTCTGCTACCAGCTGTGCATGTGGCTTGGGCTTCAGTTTCCCTACCTGCAGAGTGAGGGGCTGCACCAGTGAGCTTTTTTGGTCTGTGTTCTGAGGATCCAGGGTACACCCCTAGGGTTTGCCCAGTTCTGAGGAGACAGGGGAAGACGCATCTATCCACACCCCCTCTCCCATGTGCTCACCCTATACCTAACTGTCCATTGTGCTCAGGCTTTGGTGTAGGATTTCATGGTCAAAGAGTTCCATGGCTCGACAAGCTGGGCCCTAAGGGCCTGGCCAGTGCTGCTTTCTTGCATACTGAACAGGCCTGTGACCAAAGGGCAGCAGGGGTCTGGAGGAAGCATACTGCCCTTCTCCTTACCTCCCTCCCCCTGTTAGTTGTAGGTCCCTTTCCACGGGGTGCTGAGTCACCCAGGTTGTGCCCCAGAGGGCCCAGTGGGAGGTAGAAGACAACTCCCTAGTTTGCAGGAAGACAAACACCACCCACCACCACCCCACTATGGGGAGGACCAGGCCATGAATGGTGAAGGACAGGTGACAAGCCAGGGAAATGCCCAGCTGCCCTAGCCAGTAAGAAGTGTTATCAAGGAAGGCCACCCTGCCCTCCTGGTCTTGTCCTGCCAGGAGGCCAGGATTTGCTTGGGGCCATGTCTGCAGAGAGGAGCTCTGCTATGGACAGGCTGAGTTTTCTGGGCCTTGCAGGTAGCATGACAGATAGAAGGAATTTTAGCCCAAATACCCAGTCTTTTCTTGGGTCCTTTAGCTGAATGAGAATGCACTTCTGGAGATTGGTTTTTATATATGCCTAAGACCCACTTGCTAAGGGAAGAGTTAGGAGGAAGTCCTAACACTCCACAGCCAGGAAGTGACCCGGGCAGCGCGGGGATTCCTATGGCCTCGGGGCTGTTCTGCAAGGAAGCCTGGCTGTGCTGCAGCTACCCACACTGCCAATTCCCTGGGGCCATCCTTTGGAATGGAATGTCCGGATTTTCCAGAGGACACGTAGGTTTTCAGACGTCATTAGCACTGACTTGACTTGATCGTGGTTCTTTATTGCTGCCTTTTATGTATCCAGGTTTTTGTTTAATTAGTGTTTTGTGCTTTGGTTGATGGTTTTGTTCTAGTGTGATAACTACATTCTTTCTGTTTTAGTTGTTTTCCTTTCTTCCCAGGCATTCTTTCCCTTCAGATGAGTGAGGATGGGGTAGGTGGATCCAGCCAAGCTGGGGAGTTAGGATTTGGGGGGTCCTGTCTGGGACTCCAGAAATACAGCTTCATTTCCTGTGTTTGAACTTTCTCCTTTGCTGTCTGTACTTTGCAAGTTTAAAAAAATATATTTCACTCCTTTTTTTTTTTTCTTTTCTGCTGCTGGGAATCTAACTCAGGGTTTTATATGTGCTAAGCAAACACTCTATCCCCGAGCCGCATCCCCATCCCCATTTACTTATTTTTCTATTTTGAAAGCAACATCCATTCTTAAAGTGTCTGAGAACAACATTAAATGGGGGGGGGTGCTAACATCATTAGTGTTAATTCCTTGATTATCTTCTCCTCATGTTTCCCAACATGCAGCATTTTATACATTTAGGCAAAGTAGAAGTTATAGTTTGTGCTTAGGTCATTCAGAGACATTTTTATATATCAAGATGTGAAATTGAACTTCATTCCAATTCAGAAAAATGAAATGGCACAAGTAAAGCTGTACAGTGATTTTCCAGTTCGTGTCACGCTTGCTATATAATTTCCATATAATTTCTATATCACCATTTTCTATATAATTATAGCCTTTGAAAATGTGTTGAATGGTTCCATCGAGAAGACAAACCTTAGTTCACTTTACCACTTCCCTGTTCTCTGCTCACTGGGTGCTTCTGATTTTCTTTCTAGCACCATAAACTGGGATGAATGCCCACATTCATACAGATGATTTTCTCTTGTTAGGATTAGTTTCTCATGACAGCTTCCCAAGGTGATCCTTACAGTGCAGGCTGTGCTGACTCCCTGTGCCCCAATATTGCCAGCGTGCTTTGGTACAGTTTCCTAGAGTCTGTAGTTTCCCTCTTGGCAGGAGAGGAAAGCGAAGAGCTCCCACTTTGGTCCTCCCACTTTGCTGGACCTGAAGCAAGCTGGGTCTCCTCCAGGTTTCCAACCTCTTGGCCCATGCCCATTCTGGGGTCCAGACCCGAAAGCCTGCCTCTGACACCATGCAGGCCCACGGGACCTCCACACCTCTCTTCCAGGCCCCTTGCTGTAGCCCTGTGGACCAGGCCCAGCTGGGGTAAGGTTGGGGTTAGTAAGCCCAGGTGCTGTCCCCTGACTGTCCCCCTTGGAGTGGTGCTACTGGAAGCCACATCTGCAGGGCAGTGTCCTAGAAGGCATGGAGGGGTCTCCAGGTGGGACCCGTGAGCTCCGATTTTGGTCGGCACTTGCTCTTTTCTGTTGCTCGAGGGGTCCCAAGTGACTGGCTGGCCCGTTCTGTCTTTCACACCTGCCTGTCCCTGTGCCCTCCACAGATTGCAGCCCCTCTCTGCCCCTCACTTGCACACCTGGGGGCCCCATCTCTTCCTGACCCCAGTGTTAGCTGTGTCACCATCAGAAGTGTCTAAAGCAGTAGAAAAGACATTTCTGCCCAGCTGGAAATGCAGTGGAGAGCAGCTCCTCCGGGACGGCCAGCTTCCCTGTCCTTGTCACGTGGCTGAGACACTGTCACTCCAGCTTAGTGACAGGGGCTGTGAAAGCAGCCCTTGTAGGCCGAGCCCTGACGCAGTCTGCTTGTAGCTGGGACGATGCAGGAACCATTCCTGTGGTCCCGCATGCACCCAAGGGCCCTCCAGTCCTGCGGCCAGCCCTGTGTTAGCTTTTGCCAAGGTCTGCATGACACGGTGCCGGCCACTGTGGGTGACTCAAGGGTCCTGTCAAGCTGCTGCTTCGTGGGCCTCGGTGTGTGGGGCAGGTGGCAGAGTCTTGACAGGGTACCTGACAGGAAAGTTGGCACAGTGTGAGGCCTGAGCACTGACGGATCCCATGCGCTTGACCAGAGGGAGGATGGCTTCGTGCGGGAGATGGTGCTTCCAATGGGCCTTGCAGGGTGGTGAAGTTTCATCCCATGGAGAGGAACAGTGGTAAGAGGTGTGTGGGCAGCAGGGGAAGATCGTGGGGCAGGACAGCATATTGGGGTGCATGTTGGGAAACAGAGAGGGTATGGCAGGAAGATTGGCTGCCAGGAGGGGAAGGGAAGTTGGACCCCAGCCTTGTGACCTTGAGAAGTCATTGGAGGAGGCCACATGGTGTAGTGGCGAAGAGCTCAGACCTGGGGAGCCTGGCACCTGGGTCCCTGGCAGCTTGTCATTGACCAGCTAGGTGACTCTGGCCAAGTTACCGAACTCTGCTCCTTGGTCTTCTTGTATATAAAGTGAAGATGATAACAGTTCACACATCTTCTGGGGTGGTTATGAGAATTAAATGAGTTTGTTCATGTAGAGAACAGGCTTAGAACAGCGCCCGCACGTGGTAAGCCCCTCATCGTTGCCCTGTGTCCCCTCTGGGAATCAGTCTCCACACCTGTAAAATGGGGTCACATAGCCCTAACCTCAGGGCATTAA